AGACGAGAGAGACAGAAACATCAATGATGAGAGAGAATCCATTGCTCAGCTACCTCCTGCAAGCCCCACACTGGGGATCAAGTCTGCAACCCGGGCATATGCCCTGACGGGAAATTGAACCGTGACTGCCCGATTCCTGGTTCATAGGCCGACACCCAACCACCAAGCCATGCTGGCCAGGCTATTTTTATTGATTTTTAGAGAGAGAGGAAGGAAGGGCGAGATAGAAACACCGGCAATCTTTGTGGTGGGGCAGGATCTCAGGGAAAGCATAGGAAAAATGCTCAACATCACTAAAAATCAGAGAGATCCAAATTAAAATAAAAATGAGGTACCACCTTATACCTGCCAGAATGGCTACCATTAACAAGCAACAATAACTGGTGAGGATGTGGAGAAAAAGGACCCCTAGGCCGAATCCGGTTTGGCTCAGTGGATAGAGGGTCGGCCTGCGGACTGAAAGGTCCCAGGTTCGATTCCGGTCGGGGGCATGTGCCTGGGCTGCGGGCACATCCCCAGTGGGAGGTGTGCAGGAGGCAGCTGATCGATGTTTCTCTCTCATCGATGTTTCTAACTATCTCTCTCCCTTCCTCTCTGTAAAAAAATCAATAAAATATATTTTTTAAAAAATAAAGTTTATGGAGGTATAAATTACACACAGTAAAATCCACCCTTTTTAGTGTATAGTTCTATGAATTTTGACAAGTGCATACAATTGTGTGACACCATCATAATCAAGATGTAGAGCAGTTCATCACCCCTGACACCCTCCCTGCCATAATTCCTTTGTGCCCCTTCACAGTCAACTGCTCTTCCCACACTCATCCTTTGGTCACTACTGATCTGTTTTCTGACCCTATAATTTTGCCCTTTCCAGAAAGTCTATGTATTATATTGTACTGTATGTGGTCCTTTTTGTTATTGTTAATTCTCACCTGAGGATATTTTTAAAAGTATTTATTTTTTTTAATTTAAAATTTTTAAAAAAATATTTTTATTGATTTCAGAGAAGACGAGAGAGACAGAAACATCAATGATGAGAGAGAATCCATTGCTCAGCTACCTCCTGCAAGCCCCACACTGGGGATCAAGTCTGCAACCCGGGCATATGCCCTGACGGGAAATTGAACCGTGACTGCCCGATTCCTGGTTCATAGGCCGACACCCAACCACCAAGCCATGCTGGCCAGGCTATTTTTATTGATTTTTAGAGAGAGAGGAAGGAAGGGTGAGATAGAAACACCGGCAATCTTTGTGGTGGGGCAGGATCTCAGGGAATTATCAGGGTGACGCCAGCAGAATTTGTCAGGCGCAATCATGGTGGAAGTTAAAATACCATTTTTTAATATGGTATTTTAAAACCAATATATTTTTATTGATTTCAGAGAGGCAGGGAGAGGGAGAGAGAAACATCAATGATGAGAGAAACTCATTGATCGCAGCCTCCTGTACGCTCCCCACTGGGGATCCAGCCCCCAACCCAGGCATGTGCCCTTGACCCGAATTGAACCCGAGGACCCTTCAGTCCGCAGGCTGATGATTTATCCACTGAGCAAAACCGGCTAGGACGAAAATACCATTTTTATCCCGCCTCCGGTTCTGCACCAGAAGCCTGACCCAGCAGGGCAGTGCCAGGAAGGCATGCTTTTTATGTGATGTGCGTGCATGTTGCTGTGCACCTTGCCTACAAAGCAGGAGCTGTGCTTTCAAATCGCCAAGAACCAGTGCGTGCTGTGTGGTGAATACCCAATCTCGCAACTTGGGCACGGATGCTTTCCTTCTCCCTTTAACACTAAGGACAGAAAGAAAACAAAACAAAACAAAACACCCAAACAAACCCAGCAAGCAGCAGAATCGCCCGAGAGCCTGGAGAAAGCGCGCCAATCACACAAAGAAAAGTAGGGGGGCTAGTGGGATTCAAAATCATTTCCCAGGACGAACACCCTCCTGGACCTATCGGAGTTAACTGCGCGCTTGGTGGTAGCTAATAGACACGGCTTGGCTGGTTCGGGCCCGCCCCCGAGGCTGATAGACATTTGTGCTGTCCAATGGAAGAGTGCGATGTTGAAGCATTAACCAATGCACTCGGGAGGTGGGTGGAGTGTGGGCCAGGGGGTTGGCGGTGTCGTGTCATGGAGGCTCAGTCTCTCAGCAGCCATTGAAGGGGAAGGAACTGCGGGTGTGTGTATGTGTGTGCGCGCGTGTGTGCATGTGAGTGCGCGCGCGAGTGTGTGGACAAGGAGGTGCTGGCAGCCGAGTTAGAGTCCCAACTCCTTGGACTCCATTGGCCATTCTCTTCTTTCTCCCCCACACCTATCTGCTGGTGGTGGGCGTTTATATTTGCGTTTCTTTTCATTCATTTCCAAATCTTTTACAATTTGAGGGTTGGGGGCAGTGGGGAAGGCAGGGCCGGGTAACGGAGGAGAGGAGGAGCAGAGAGCAGGAGGAGGACATGGAGATGAAGACGAGGATTAACCAGGAGTTGAGGAACCGAGCCCCGGAGGAGGTGAGATGACTCAGCCCCCTCCCCTTCCCCACCAGCCAGTGTTCCGAGGATCGGGTTTCGGGGGGGCCCGGGTGGGTGCGCGGGGAAGGGTCATGAATTAACCCCAACCCCAGGAAATATTCAATTTGAAGTTTAAATCATTCATATCTTTTACTTAAAATGGCGAAGGGTGTAAGTTTCTAGGGGCGTTTTTGTGTGTGCCTGGGGGCTTAGTCCCCTTCTCCTTCCCGGCGTCCTGGCCGCGTGGGGGCGGGAAGCCGGGTGTCGCGGGCCG